AAGTAATTCAATTGGAAGAATGGGGTATTTTTGGAATAATATAATTGGTTTTAAAGAAAATGCATTTGAAAAAGAAAGTATTTTATTGCATAATGTGTGGCCAATTACAGTAGGGGTAGGTAATTTTGCCACGTCTGACAAGGAATTTGATGGCCCTTTATCAAATTGAATACACTTTAGCGAATCTCAAAATAAGCAACTATTTTTTAATGCTTATCACTTCCCAAAAGATTTATCGAGATCGTCAACTAATTTGAATTAGGAGGTCAAAATGAAATGGGCATTTTGACAGAGGAAGAATCATATACTTGAGGATCTTTTTGGCATCCATTCTTATGTGAGCATGTGTTGATCGAAACAAGGTTGTTGTAAAAATCTATACAATCATTTGCAATCAACTAAGAGAAAATAGCAAGCTAAGAGTTTGTTCGCCAACACGAGCATAGCTTGCTAGTAGTTGGCACATGTTCCTTACCATGAAGTTGAAAGTTCAAATTTCAAACCGTACTTTGATAAGGAAATGAATACAAGGACAAAAAAACAGCCCAACCGAAATCAGAAAACAAAAGGGAGCACAAGAACTAACTATCAAAAGGGACTTGAGAAGGGGTAACACTTCAATATTAACCCTTGTCCCCTCCTATACCTCCTCCCACGGTCTATCCACCTCCCTAGAAATCAATACTATTAATTCTCTCCTAGACACGGTTCCAAAGCAAGCATGATCACATTGGATAATGTTCACGATAGAAGATTGTGAGATCCCACATCGATTGGAGAAAGGATTATAAGTATTTTTCATAAAGGTGTGGAGACATTTCCCTAATAGACACATTTTAAAACGTGAGGCTAACAGCAATACGTAACGTACTAAAGCGGATAATATTTTCTAGCGTTGGATTTTGGACTGTAAACTCTCCCTAGTAGACAAGTTCTAAAACTGAGGCGGACGACGATACGTAACGGACAATATTTACTAGCAGTGGGCTTAAACAATTACAAGGTTACCAGGAGTGTTAAGTGGGAAACTCAACACTAACCAGATTCAACAAAAGAAATCAAAGCAAAATAAGTCTGCATGTTCGAAATTATATATCAGTAGAAAAGCAAAGACAAAAATTTTATTCTCAAGAAACAGAAGACAATTATAATTCAAACAGGACAATGTGCACAACAGATTCATTAAAGTACAAACAGAAGAAGCATTTCATAAGTTGCCACGTACAGGTTTTAATGGTACTTATCGAGGGGGCTAAAGGAGGTGTGTGCCGGCTGAGAGACCAAAAATTGACAGTTGCTTTTGTCCTGATTCTATGGGATGATTTTATTGTAGGGGAACCGATCCATAGAACACTACTTCGGCTGGTCCAGTCATGTATACGTGGTTGGCTTGTTCACTCCACTCTATCTGTAATGGTCCTCCAGGCAGATCAACGGTGCAATTCTGTCTCGACACATTTGGATCAAAAGTTAGGAAATTTAAAGGAAAGGATTGAAATTCGCATGATCTTTATTTTTTTGTCTGATGAAACCATGATATATTGTTTCCGTTGTGTTTACAAGATACACTTGATCTTCTTACCCGCCCAGCACGACCTTCAAGAACTGCTGCAACAACAACCGCACAGGCTCCAGTTCCACAAGCAAGCGTCGCGCCTGTAGTGACATTGAGAAGGCAGGTTTGTTATGAAGCGTTTCAATAATTATATGCTTACAACTTTAAATTATATCAAATTTGTACCTGCACCACGCTCCCAAACACGCATTTTAAGGTGTGAATTGGAGAAGACTTGCACAAATTCTGTCGTGGACATCAAGAAAAAACACATTTGCTCAAAGATATATCTCAACCAGAAAAGGCTGAAACTCCCAACTCGCTAAAAAACCAACCTGTATTTGTTCGTGCTGGAAACATCTCATGATGTTCAAATTTTGGACCAATTGCAGCTAAATTGATGTCATCAACCTGCAGATTCTGTTCATAACCATGCTAAAATCAGCACAAGTAGTAAATAAACGGTAAAGTTCCAACAGAATGACTAGAGGCAGTCATATGACCTCAAGACTCTATGAAGTTGCATTACAGGGTTTAAACTGCCATAAGCTATTTTAGATCAGAGGAGGAAAGGAATGATTTCAATGTTGAAGGAGCTTAGACATCATTAGTATTGCTTCCTAATATAATTGTACTCCATGGTTCATGAATGCTCTAATAGATAACATAACAACGTTGAACACATCTCAATCAATCAACTAAATTCTGATAAATACAATTTGTGTACTCTTACGGACCCGAGCCTACAAAGTACTCAAGAATTCTTGTACTGAATATTAAATCGTCACTTATTGCCTCTAATCTACTACATCAAGTACACAATATATATAACTTGATAAGTGATTATATTTAAGTAAAAGAAGAGAAAACAAAAGGGCAAGCCAAAGTAATCCACTTTAAGAACTTTAAGAAGATTTAGAACAGTGAATGAGATGTTACAAAATGTACTTCTAAATAAATACCTGCTCAATTTTGTTGCCAAAAGTTACACAATGGGGGTTTCCCATACTGACACAGGTCACGCTCCATGCAACTCCATCTACTTCTATGTCTGACTTAACAACAGATTGGTCTTTATTTGGTGTCAATCGGGTAGGCACATCTGATGCTTTGAGAATTGGTTCGCCCATGTCTACTTTTACCTGACATTGCATGTACGTTAAGATGTGCCTATAAAGGCTTCAAAATGATAAATAAATTTAAAAAAAAAAAAAAAAAAAAAACCACACTTTCATGGAGAAAAGTGAAAGAAAGTATAAAGAAGCCCAGTGAACAGATGCCCAAAGCAAGCATTAAACATAAAAAAAAACACCCAAACTTCCTCCCAAGAACTCTAAAAAATTTTAACAGCAGTTGACTGTAGATTAGAAAATCTGTCGAGATATACCAGTCCATTATCCTGAAGTTGTGGAACAATGAGACCGGCACCAGTATGAATAGTGAAACTGCAAGATTATGAATAGAAAACTGTTCACTCAGAAAATTAATACATAAATGAACATGAAATAAAAGATCTAAGCTATAACAATTTAATTAGTTTTATAGGTCAACAACACAAGGAAACAGATTCATATCGAAAGAAAACGTTCATCTTTGAAATATTAAGCAAACGTTCATCTTAGAAATATTAATATCGAAAGGTCAATTTAAGTAGTGTTTTGAAAGGGCTATACTATGTTGGAACGGTATGCAGGCCTGAAAAGATAAAACAATGGTAAAACAGCAGAAGATATACCTATGCCTTCCCTGTAAATTCTCAAGCTCCGCAATAAATCTGGCAAAGCATCGTACTCCATTACCACACATCTATAAGATACAAGCGCACAAAAATGCAGACTCAGACGTAATTGATAGAATACAATAACAGTAAATTATTTCTATAAAAAAAAAAAAACAATTAATTACCTCCGGTTCACTCCCGTCGGAATTGAATATCCTCATGGTATAATCAGTACCATTAACGCCCGGCAGAGCAAAGATAACTCCATCAGCACCGATCCCAAAGTTTCGATCACATAATTTCGCAGCTTGCTCCGGGGTGATCCTAGGCTCTGATGAGTCCCTATTATCGACCTATTCAAGCTCACTTGCAATTAATATCAGACTAATACCCAAATGCAGACTGATTAGCAGAGAATGAATAAAACTATCCTGCATGAAGAGAAGACTGGCCGAGAAAAAGTTTCCAATTAGTTTCTTATTAAAATCCATGTGATTTTCCATGATTAACATCACTGGAGTAGCAAGGTTAAGTTACAAAGTTCCGATTTCAGACTTCCACCATTTCAAATCCAAAGCTCCAACAGATAAGCCATAGATAGAACAAACATTTACAATCAATTTAAAGAAAATCAAAACAAAACAAAACAAAAGCATATCAGGCAGCACACTCAAAGAGTCATTACCAGGATGAAGTCATTGCCGAGACCATGGTATTTAACAAAGTGAAGGAGGCCACTCTCTCTCCGGTCAAGAAAAGAAGACGAAAGCGCTTTCTCCGTAACTTCAAGGCCAGCGGAAGACGCGGATACGGAGAGCCTAGGGCTTCTTCTCCGCGCGGAATACTTCGAAAGGGAATCCAGTTGAAGTGTGGAAGAAACAGACGATCGGAGAAAAGAAATTGAGGCGAGAGAGCGTCGAGATGGAGAAGTAAATGGAAGAGAAATGGTGGTGGATATGGCCATGGCTGCCTGTGGTGTCGGAGTAGAGACTCCCCTCTTCGGTGAGCAGAAGCAGCGCAACAGAGAAGTCGGAGCATATACAACGGGGAAAGAAGTCGTCGTTGGTGATCTGGCCATGGGCCATAAAACGGCCAAGCCCATATTTCAGAACACTTGGTTTGGGCTTATCTTTCCTTCGGCCCTTATATTTCAAATATTAAATTTTTTTTAATTTGATTTTTATCTAGTCCTTAAAATTATAGACTTTATACTTGTACTCTATTTTTTATTATTAAATTTTAATTAATTAATTAATTAATTTAAAATAGTATTAAAAAGTGGATCCTTCAATAATTTTTATTAGTGACAAAAAATTAATTTTATCATAATTACTTTAACTATTTTAAATTTATTAAACACAAATAATTAAATATTATAGTCCATAGACTAAATTGAAATTAAACCAATAAAAAATACAATATTTTAAAAGTAAAAAATAAAAAGAAAACTAGTAATTATTAAATTTTAAAAGGATAAAAAAATATATATTATTTTCTTCCTTAAATTTCATTTTAGTAGCATATTTTATTAGTTAATGCATTTTAAATTAATTAAAAATATAAAAAGATATTTGGATAATTATTTAAATTTCATTTTAAGTTTAGTGTTTTAATTCTCAATTAAACCTATTTTTAGAAATATTTTAATTTAAATGATTAATTTTTCATAGAATTTTTTAAGGAAACTTCTTTTAATTTCGCGATGTTTTATTGTCTGTTAATATATTCTTTTATTTTTTGACGTGAAGATAAGCTTTTGAAGCAATTGGGTTCTTCTTCCATTTGAAAATTGTATCAAAAACTGCCATTAATGGAGTACAGAATCCATCAATCTTCTGAATTCTTAAGCTGATGATGATCTAAGCTCAATAATTTACAGTAGCTCTGTTGTGCTTGCCGCTAAACAATTGCGATTCGAGCTCGTCCGTTCGATCTCCAATCTTCCAAGTTCAGAACCCAACCATATGATACCCATATGGAGAAGATCTTACGTTTCATCATCTTGTAGGCAATTGATCAAACTCAAAGCGGATGCCCATGGCGCCGTCGTTACTCCGGCTGTACAATCCAAGAAAGACCCATTTCCTCGCGGTGAATTGGATGCACGCCAACTGTTCGACAAAATGCCTCAATTAAACGTGGTTTCTGCAACCGCTATGATTGGGTGCTGTGCAAGGCAGCATCAACACGAAGAGGCATTGTGTCTATTTTCTGCAATGTTTGTGTTAAATTTAAGGCCCAACGAGTTCACTTTTGGCACTGTGATTCACTCTGCAACGGCACTCGGAGACATTGATATTGGCAAGCAGCTTCATGCTTGTGCCATAAAAATAGGCCTTCATTCTAATGTGTTTGTTGGTAGTGCGGCTTTGGATTTGTATGTCAAGTTGAGTGTCATTGAAGAAGCTCAAAGGGCTTTTGATGATATCAAGATGCCTAATGTGGTTTCTTACACTAGTTTGATTTCTGGGTACTTGAAAACAGAGAAGATTCAAGCTGCTCTCCGGGTGTTCGATAAAATGCCCGAGCGAAACATTGTGTCCTGGAATGCGATGATTGGCGGGTTTAGCCAAAAGGGACACAATGAAGATGCTGTGCATCTCTTCATTGATATGCTCAGAGAAGGGTTTTTGCCCACTCAATCTACTTTTCCTTGTGCTTTATGTGCAGCTGCTAATATAGCTTCCATTGGAATAGGGAGGAGTTTTCATGCTTGTGCTATCAAGTTCTTGGGCGATCTCGACGTGTTCGTGAGCAATTCGCTTATTAGTTTTTATGCAAAATGTGGAAGTATGGAAGATAGTTTGTTGGTTTTCAATAAATTGCTTGACAAAAGAAATACAGTTTCATGGAATGCTGTCCTTTGTGGTTATGCTCAAAATGGTAGGGGAAAGGAAGCCATAGATTTCTATCAGAGGATGAGTTTTTCAGGCTGCAAACCCAATGGAGTGACACTTCTTAGCTTGTTATGGGCTTGTAATCATGCTGGCCTAGTTGATGAAGGTTATTCATATTTCAATCAGGCGAAACTCGAGAACCCCAGCTTGTTAAAACCCGAGCATTATGCTTGTATGGTCGATTTGCTCTCACGTTCAGGTCAGTTTAAACGAGCAGAGGAGTTTATACACGACCTGCCTTTCGATCCAGGGATCGGGTTTTGGAAGGCATTGCTTGGGGGCTGCCAAATTCACTCGAATATGGAACTTGGGGAGCTTGCAGCTCAAAGAATCCTGGCCTTGGATCCAAGTGATGTCTCGTCGTATGTAATGATGTCGAACGCGCATTCAGCAGCCGGGAAATGGCATAGTGTGTCGATATTAAGAAGGGAGATGAAGGAGAAGGGGATGAAGAGAATTCCGGGTTGCAGTTGGATTGAAAGTAGAAGCAAAGTTCACGTCTTTGTAACTGGTGACAAAAGTCACCACCAAAAGGATGAAATTTGTTCGACCTTGAAATTTTTTGTTGAACACTTGAAAGAGAGTGAAGATTTCAACTTTCTTTCAGATTCATAAATTGGATATGATTGGTATGAGGTTGACAAGAGTTATTGCGACTTGAAAGGATAAAAACAATTTGTTGAATAATTCTCAGTATCTAGACGACAACGACAACTGTGAGATCTACATCGGTTGGGGGAGAACGAAACATTATTTGTAAAGGTATGGAAACTTCTCTCTCGCCGACCTTTTTTAAAAACCTTTCAAGGATCTCAAAAAGGAAAAAATTAAATAGGACAATATCTGCTAACGGTAGATCGAGTCGTTACAAATTTACCATAAGTGAAACTGTAGTGAAACGTAGAGTAGAAGTAATATGGTATAAAATTACCTGCAGTCGAGGCAAACGATCTAACTCGACAATTATTGAACAATGATATGTCAAATAAACCATTTTCAACCCCTATCCCATAGCTTTCATCTCTTGGTGGCTAATGAGTTTGGAATATTTTTCACTTTTCACGTCCTACCCTAATATTTTCTCTAAATTTTTGTCCTAGCCCCTTTACTTTTTTGTTTTTTGCTTTTTGGTCCACAACAAACACAAATTTAATTCCCAGCCAACCTCATAAATTAATCTCAATATATTTTAATTATCATTGAGAATTTGAAGATCTTTGGAAAGATTCTAAGTTGATAATAGGAAGGCATGTGATTGAGTTTGGAATTACTTACCCATTCTTGGAGTGACTCCAATTCATAAACACTGTGTTTCATTGAAAGTGATGTGTGCTAGTTCAAGTTCAATACAAAAGTTTACATTAATTATTCAATGTAATTAGTCACACCACACATAGTTTGGAGGGTGAAACGAAATATTCTTTATAAGTGTATGAAAATCTCCCCTAACAGATACGTTTTAAAATCTTAAGATGAGGAAATATCTACTGGCAGTGGCCTTAAACTGTTACAAATATCATCAAAGCCAGACATAGAGTGGTGCGTTAGCCAAGACACTTAATCATTTAGTGCTGAGATTGTTAGATTCCAATGGTGAGATCACATAATTATTTATAAAAATTTTTTATTTTATTTATAAAGTGTTGCAATTATTACTTTGGCAATATACTTTCGAATAAAAAAATTATTTAAAATATTGTGTGAATTGAAGGTATAATTTACTATTATTATGATGCAAAGGGGATAGTTTGATTAAGGTAGTCTTTTGAGCCAGATTCATTAATGCAATGGTTATTCGAGATCTTGGAAAATTGACATTTAAGTGAAATATTTATTCAGATCATAATCTTCGATTGTTGACTATTTCTCATTACTGTTACCACCCGTTGTTGGACGAAACTTCCTTACTTTTAGCCTAATCGCCTTATCTTTTCTGCGCCCGTGTTTGGAAAAGTGTATGATCTTTTTAGCAAGTTTAAATAGATACAAACTATTAACTAATACCTAAAAATAAAAAAATATATATAACTAATAAATCTGGTAAATAAATAAAATACACCATTAATCAAATTTATACTAACAACTCCCTAAATATCTGAGATATATTCCCAATATATCTCCAAAATATCCTCTTAATACTCCCCTCGAGTGTATGTCGATCCCAACTTGTCCTTCAAAAGGTCAAATTGCTGTCTTCCTAGAGCTTTAGTAAAAACATCTGCCAATTGCATTTTGGTCGAAATATAACACGGTTTGATGATTCCAGCTTGTAACTTTTCTCGAACTATATGACAATCTATTTCAATGTGTTTCGTACGTTCGTGAAAAACTGGATTGGCTGCTATATGTAATGCTGCTTGATTATCACAATATAATAATGCTGGTTCGGACAGTGGAACATTCAAGTCTTGAAGAATGTATCAGCTCGATACTCGGCTTCTGCTGATGATCTGGACACATTAGTCTGCTTTCTAGACTTCCAAGAAATAATTGAATTTCCAAGGAAAATGCAGAACCCAGAAATAGACCGTTTGGAAGTTCGACAATCACCCCAGTCAGAGTCGCAATATGCTTTGTAATCTTAAATTGTTTTCAGATGGCCGTAGGAGTCCTTGACCAGGAGTGCCTTTGATGTACCTCAGAACTCGAAGAGCTGCCTCCCAATGTGGTTTTCTTGGTTCATGCATAAATTGGCTAAGCATACGAACTGAATAAGCTATGTCAGACCTAGTGACGGTCAAATATATTAATCTGTCAATCAACCGTCTGTATTTACTTGGATCATTCAATTTCTCTCCTTCAGTTAAAGAAAGTTTTAGATTTTGCTCCATAGGAAATTTGTCTGGACGTGCTCGTGTAAGGCCTGTGTCTTGAAGGATGTCTAGAGCATACTTCCTTTGAGACATAAAAATTCCTTTTCTAGACCGAGAAAATTCAATGACTAGTTTACTCTTGGTAAACAAAGAGTAGTCTACTTTGGACTGAGTGTAGCTGCATTTTGTATAGTTGTAGAAAATATGGAGAACCAATTGCGAGAAGCTTGTTTTAATCCATAAAGAGATTTATGGAGCCGACATACTGTATTCTCCCCCTGTCGGTGAAGACCTGGTGGTAAAGACATATAAACTTCCTCGTCTAGATTACCATGGAGAAAGACATTTTGAACATTCAACTGATGGGTGAACCATTTTCGAGCAGCAGCAACAGTGAGTAAGCAACGAAGTGTAGTAAGTTTCGCTGTAGGGGAAAATGTTTCTGTGTAATCAATACCTTCAACCTGAGTGTATCCCTTTGCTACAAGTTTCGCTGTAGGTGACATAACATTTCAAGTTATTGGTAAGTTTGCTGATCGACATTAGGTTTAAATTGAATGAAGGCACACATAAAACGTTGTTTAACTTAAGGTTAGGGCTAAGGAAAATATTGTCAGTATGTGACACACGTGCTGTCTCTCCATTAGGCAAATTTATTGTAGACATGATGGCAGCCTTTGGATCAGTCATAACAGAAGATTTTGATACTATATGATCCGTAGCTCCACTATCGAGAATCCATGAATTAGAACTCGCAGAGTTAACAGATAATGTAGATATGGGAAACAAACCTGCAACATTGATGTGATTGTCAGAATTACCAGAAGGGTTTTGATTGATTGCAGATAAGGCTTGTGCTATCTGTCGTAATTGCTCAGAAGAAAAATTTGGAATGGAATTAGGTGATTGTTCTTCTGTATTCAACTGTGAAACATCGGCCATATTTGCAGATGATCGGTATCCACGATGATTGTGTTGATTGACTTGTCTTGTCCTTGTAGAATTATTTTTCTGTCGACACCGATCTTATGTATGTCCCCCTTCTATCACAAAACTTACACTGAAACTTAAGAATTCGACACTCATTGATTGTATGACCACTTTTATTGCAGTGTTCACACGATTTGTCCTTGGCGAATTTTGAATATGTTGTTTTCTTCTGCACTGCTGATGCAATCAAGAAATTCTCAGTAGGTTCAGAGATTACCTGTCACTGCATCTCTTCTTGTACAAGTAATGAATAAGCTTGCCTCACATTAGGTAATGGAGACATCATCAATATGTTAGATCTCACCGTTTTATAAGACTCATTGAGCCCCATGAGCAATTGCATCAACTTGTCTTCTTCGCGTTGATCAATATGTATTTGACGTTGATTACACGTAAATGGTGTGCGGTACGCTTCCAGTTCATCCCAGAGTGTTTTGAGCTTGGTGAAATATGTTGACAGTACCATGGTTCCTTGTGACATCGTTGCTATCGAGTTTTGTATTTGAAAAATTGCTGGAGCATTCTTTTGTGAGAATTGATCGCAAAGATCAACCCACACTTGATGAGCTGTCTTGGCGTGAATAATGCTTTTAGCGATATCTGCTTCAATGAGTTAACCAAGATATTATCATACTGTTGCACTGATTCTAGAGTTCGAATTCGGTTGAATTTGCATCTTGGGGCGGTTCCTCAATTGTGCCATCAATGAAGCCAATTTTCTTCTTGGCAATAAGAGCATGCATAACTGATTTACTCCAGGATTTAATTTGATTGGAACAAGTGAATATCCTGACTGATCAGAGTGATGCATATAGTAAGGATGTGTTAAATCAACATCCAAAATTTTAAAGCTGGATTTGGCTGATTCCGCCATAAAGAAAATTTTGATATTTAAGAACACGACGATCGATGCTCTGATACCATGTTAAGAAATATAAATTATACTAACAACTCCCTAAATATCGCCCATATATTCTAACTAATATATCTCCAAAATATCCTCTTAATAGGTATTGAAAGAAAAACAATACTAAATCCACATAATTTTTTTTTGTTGAAGGTGTGAATTTAAGATTTAAGATTATTAGTTTTTTTTTTTTTTAAATGTTAAAATGGTGAGTTAGTTTTTGAAGAAAATGAAAAAAAAAAAAAAAAAAAAAAAAAAAAAAAAAAAAAGGTAAAAACTTGATAATGTTCTTAATCTAGGGACCAATTTGATAAAATTTAAAAATTTTATTGATAGTACAAAATTTATTTAATAACTTGATTAATAATTGGACTCATTTGAATGTATTTTTATAGTCATTTATTAACATTAAAATTTCGTAATCATACAAATTTAATGTAACAATATAATGGATAAGACTGGATTTAAAAATTTGAATTTCCACTAAAAAAAATCTAAAATTTGTATTATCACGAAATTATTGTTATTTTTTAATAAATCAACCGTAAACTAAAAAAAATTCAAATTTGTTTTAAATCTATTCTAATTACGCTAATTATTATTTCAAAAGTTAATAATTCATAATAAAAAATAAATAAATATCGAACAAACAAATGTAGTTCAACCAAAAAGCAATATTGTAGCAAATTCAAAAATAGAAATTTAATAAGAAATATTTAAATTTGAATATACCTCTTTCGCTCATATTTGAAGCATACAAACAATGTGCATGCACGTGTATTAATAATAATAATAATAATAATAATATATTATTTAAAAACACAAAAAATAGTAAATTTGTCATGATTTATGATATCATTTAAAAATAATAATAATTCACGAATTTTAAACAGTTATTTTCAACTATAATAAAAATAAAAATAAATAAATAAATAA